GCTAGCGCACCATGCCAGCCGCACAGCTTGAGTCATGCGAGTGGACACGCCATAGATCCTTTCACAGGAAGCGCCCATCAGTCAAAATAATCATATCACCCAAACATGGGAAAGGGCAGTTTGGCATCATGGGCATCATGTGGCATGAGTCAGCCCTTTGCTCCATACAACAAAGTACTTTTCTCATTTCTGCTAGTCAGGGTGAGTATTGGGACCCTGCTGGTACCAAACAAGTAAGACTTAAGAGATACAGGCGATGTGGGCGATGCGCCAATGGTGGTGCAGTGCGTGCTGGCAATGGCGTGTGGCTGGCTTCCAATACTGTCTTCGCAGGTGTTTCAGTTCGACTAATTCAGGCAACAAACTAAAAACGGAATCTTCAAAGCTCACTAAGCAAAGAAACAGAAAAGAAATGCATGACCCCTGCATGGATCTTCCCATGGTGTTTGTCTCTCAGAACCTCTTGGTCTGTTGTCCCACGGTCACTCCCTGGGGCCCTCACGCGAAGACTGTGAACGTAGCTCCTGTGATACTCATTGCTGCTAGACTGACCTGGCAGGAATGCCATTTCAATATGGAGGTATTCAAAGCATTATGAGCATGAGAGCTGAACGCGTCGTGCCGCATCATGACATAGCTCAGAAAAGCAGGTACATGCTGCAGTCACTGCGTCTATTTTGCTCTCAAGAGACAGACGGAGAGGCAGAGAGAGAGAGAGAGAGAAAAAAGACAGAGAGACAAAGTCACTGAGAGAGAAAGAGAGAGAGAGAGACAGAGAGACAAAGAGAGAGAGAGAGAGACAAAGAGACAGAGAGAGAGAGAGACTTTGGAGGTGCCCTCATGCATCAAAATAGGTGATTTATGCTTTGTGGTAGTGTACACGCAAGCGTAGACAGCGCCTTGTGAGCCAAGCTTCCCTCTATTTGAAGGTACCTCGGACTGCAAGTTTTACTGTTCAAGTCCTTGTCTGGTTTCACACAGGGAAGGCATGACTGCTTTTGGACGTAGAGTGGCAAGTTTTGATCCGCATGAAGGACAGCATCACAGGCCACGAATATGAAGAGCAAGCACCTTGCATGCAACTGATGCAAAAAGGAGGCCATCGCTATTAGGTTGGAGTAGGTAACCGAAACTGCAATTGCTTGCTATTGCAAGGGTGCTGATCCCTGACGATGCAACTCTTGCACTGAGGATGTTGCCGCAGCAGGTTCAGTCCTTGCAATTTCATTCAGTAGGTCCAAGATTTGGCTGCCATGCAAATGTGTCATATTAAAAAGGCTCTTTGACTGTAGGACTCAGCGCCTGACCAAGGAAACAATATGCACCAAACTCAAGGCTGCAGCCGCAACAACCTCGTGCAGCCCGGTCTTTTCATGATAATCTGGCATGCATCAACATGCAGCAAGCAGCAAGGCAGTAGAAACATCATAGTAAATATAGTAATAGTATATGCATACTGTATGTGTATATATATACCCCTGTTTATAAGGAGTGGATCTCTAAATGTGTCCGAAACAAAGTGCCACACATTGGGTGGCCGGTCGACAAGACATCGGCCTGTGCAGCGTTGGTACTGGAAGGTTTGATTTGCGCAAAGTGCCGAAGTTTGTCCGGCCTGCTGTTCGCTATTGGATACCAGGATTGTGAGAGGTAGTCACAAAACCAATGGCGTGAGTCTTGAGCCAAGGTGGCGGCACCGACTGATTGCAAAGACCTTTAACTCCAGCCTTCTTGTCACCGGCTGCAGTCAACCATTCACTCACTCATCGAAAGAGAATTTTTGTATAATTGACTCTGATCCGGAAGAGTAGTATCAGAACGAACCCAAACTATCCAAGCATAATCCTTCCAGCATCTTCCAACCACTAAGCAATCCCAGAGTCGCAGGGTGCAATGGCAACATCTTCGACACGTACAGTAGTTGGCAACCCCAGCCTCTGGCTTTGTCAAGCTCTGCGCAAAGCTGCGAGCTTCAATATACCACGTCTGACAGAAAGGTAGCCGTCAAGGTGGGGGTTCCAGAAATGAATGAAAGACTTGTCCAGTTCAACCTCAAATAACAAGAGCCTTGCAATGTATATATATATGTTTCAAGCCTAAGCTTTCAAAGGAAAAAAACTCATAAGATCTCATAAGTAAAGAGGTTGTTCCATGTTGTTCCGTGTGTAGATCACTGGTCCTGAAGGTTGGGATCAAGCAAAACGAGAACGCAAGCGCTCGACACTTTTGTGGCTTTGGAGCTCAAAATATGGGAACTTGCATGCATTTCTTCACCTTCTTTGTGCCAATAAGACTCTAAGAAATGCCAAGCCTGCAAGCTAAGTCGAATGATGTCACAAAGCGATCAGTTCTTTTCCGTGCTCTTTTTGGTGGACTTGTGTTTTCGTGGTAGTTCTGGCAATTCATGCCTTTGAGTGACAACACGAACAAGAAAGAGAATGCAATGCAGTTGTGTGTGTGTGACCCTTGGACCCTTGGGGACATTTGGGCAGTTTTTTGGTTTTGAAAAACTGCAGTGGAGCAGAGCGCGGCATGATTGTGGGACCGCACTCAAGGAAGCTACCACAATCATGGTATACTGAGTCTGATCAACTCGGCGTACCTGCACCAGTTGTTGTGAATGTTCTAGCCATGATTGGGCCATGATTCAGGCCTGCAGATGTGCATTCGTTGTGGAGCTTTAAACTTGCACTCGAAGCCCTGGTCGCTCGCTTTGAGCTTTTGGGAACTCAGAGTACTTTGGACCTTGAAGCCCTTTGGACTTTGAAGGAATTGGACGGTCACACTCCGCTGCATACGTTTATCCTGGTTTACTCTGTCAGGCCAATGTTTCTCACTTAAACTTAGGCTTCTTCTAGGCATTTGGCGGCCTACGTACAAACTCGTATGCCGAGTGTGTGTGTGTGTTTAGTTGTCTAAACTAAACTAAAGCATGAACACTGCCTCCTTGGTGATCCTCTCCACCAGCAGGGAGTCAAAGCCCGCCAGCATGCCCCTGAGCAAAGCAAAGAACATCAGCACAACAATGCTCATTTTCGGTCCAACGAAACACACTTCACAACACTTCTGTCTTTGAAATTCTTTAAACTTTGCTTTCAGTCCCAGAGTGTCGAAAATCCGGACTTCCAGGCTTCGGCAGCATCTGCTTTTCCAGCAGTTGGCTGTACCGACGTTGCAGCTGGATGAGCTCCCATGCGACCTCTCCATCTTGGTATCAGAAACTCTGTCTCAAATCCACAAGGATCCACTCAACTCTCCTTGCAGTAGTTGACCAAGATTAACGTGCTCCAACTGACACGGTAAGACTGTGATTTGATGACTCTGACGCCATTGCAGCTTACAATAACTTCATGGAGTTGAAAGGAACCACGAAAGCTTGCTGTATGGCAAATGAAGCTTACTGTACATGGGCTGAAGACATCACAAAATGTGTAAAACTGCCATGACATTTCCTGCTGAAATCTCAACACTCAAAGACTTAAACATGCTCTGTATTCTTCAACTAGGCCACTCCGCTGAGAACAGCCGGAATTGTCGTCACTCTCAATCTCACCTTCAACCGCGCCAGTTGGATCTGCTGAGCATCTTTGTGAACCTAGGATCTGCTGAGAAATTGTTCCCCCAAAACCTAGTCCCACTCAATTCTACGCCCAAGAGGCCGCAAGGGGCCCTATTGGATTCCCGGCAGCAGACTTCCAAAAGCTTGATGTATATAGCTAGAGACATCTCTAGTAAATCTCTAGAGCTCTTGAGACCGAACCTGGATCACGAGTCACGAACTATGTTTTTCGAGGAGATTAGCTGGTTAGCTCGTTTTCGCACTGCGGTGCTTGCTACACTGGGTTGCGCCGGGGACAAGCTACAGAAAGCATGTCTGTGAATGTGTTTGCGCCGCATGTGACGCAGCGCCGCCAGTGCCACTACACCTGCGCCTCCTGCAGCATCCAAGCCGTCTGCTCCACTTGCCACGCTTACTCTACTAGCGACAGAATGTCCAAACGCAGCGGGCGCACCGCACGCAATGGGTTGCTGGCCAGTGCTGTAGGCGTGTGTGATGAGCGATGCACTCGTGCAATATACAGGGAACATGCGCGCATGTGCAATCATCATGTTGGCATTCCTCCATCATTCATGTGACCTTCAAGACTTGAAGGGGATTCTTGCCAATTCCGGCCAACCTGGGTGAACCAAGTGACCTTCTTGGCCGTTGTCTTCAACCTTGGAAACGGCTGCAGTTTCTTCGCAGAAAAAACATGGGGCGATTGAACGGATGGAGCGGAAGACGCTGATCCCTCTCTCAATGCAAGCTACTCTCTGCTAGACTGGTGTCTACTGCTGGCTATCAGGTTCTGTTATTGTTTTTTTCTTACGACACAGTTGCACGCCCTTATCCGACCCAAAATCTTTGTGTCATGTGGGAAAATGTCCTAGTGATCACCTCATGTTCCCATTGACATATGACATATGTTTGCAAACATTTCCCAAATCGACTCACATCCTGTACTTTTGCAGCAATATCAGCTTCTAAGCGCCTTCCTCATTCCTGAAACTTGAACAAGTAATTAGAGTTACAACGGGATGTAAGTAAAAGGGCTCCAACAAGTGAGGCGAGAAGTTCTGGTGCGTACGTCAATCGCTGGTGAGGTTGCCTGGACACTTTGGCTCTGTGGCCGCGGTGCTGAGTGCAAAGGCTCCAGTACCCACAAGCAACCAAGCGCCCTAAGGTTGGAATGACCAGTTGTTGTGTGCGGCACAAAAAGTAGAGAACCTTCAAAAAATAATTGAGAGGGGGGAGGATCAAGAGAAAAAACTAAGAAGGATCAAAAACATAAAATAAACTCAAAAAACAAAAAATATATTGGCGATGTTGCCATAAAAACAAAGGACAAATGAGGATCAACATAAAAACAACAAAATGATCTAAAAACAAGTAGACTCAGACACTAGTAGTGGTACTACCACTACTACTGCTGCTATTAGTAGTAGTAGTAGTAGTAGTAGCAGTGGCTCACAAAAGGTCTTCCACCTTCGAATGATCCCTTCCTCCAAAGTTTGCACTGCTGGCTCTCACCTAAATTGTGGCGTTAATGCGTCTCACATGTAGGCAGTGCTGTATTTCAACGCCTGTTCCCACCAACGCAGAACACAAAATTTGCCTAGCCATTTTTTTGTTCGTTCTTTTTGTTTGTATTTTCTTCCTTCCTTCCTTGCTTTCTTTCGTCTTTCTGTATTGTTCGTTCTTTATGTGTGTTTTGTTTTTGAAATTTTGTTATGTTTTGTATTTCTTTAGTTTTTCTATCGGTCTTTCTGTTGTGGTTTTATTACTATTTTGTGTTACAGTGTTTTTTCATTCTTTCTTTCCATCTTTCTTGTCACTCCTAAGTATTGTGTTTATGCATGTTTTTTTTGTTGACCCCTCTTTGTTTTCTTGATCCCTATTTGTTTTCTTTTTGAACCCTCTCCCAGCCCAGCTAAAACAAGCAAACACCATATGCCTGACCTGAACTGCAACGTCATATCCAATCAGCTGAGGAGTCTGCTCGTTGCTGTCGCAGCTGCTCTGCATGCGTTTGTAGCCTTCCCTGAGAAGCCACCAACTACCTCTTCAAACCTGTTTCAACACGATCCAACTCAAATCCTCAGACCCTTTCAACTTCACTGCCTCACTGGCGCGAGAAAGATCACCTCTTGCCTTGCACGTGAAAATGTTGGGAGTGGTGGTTTGATGTAGTTTCATACACATTTGAATAAGTTTTCAGTAGGCAAAGAAAGTTGTCGGAAATAAAGAAACGTGCAAATATGTGTGTATATATAGGTTACATATTGCTGTATGTAGCCTCAAAAGAATGGTTGAAACATGTGTCCGGAAAAGGTTTCCGAGTTGTTTTGCCAATCTCTGTGGCGTGCCTCAGCGAGAGCTGCAGAGTGGCTCATGCCACGATTCAGCTCCTTGCAGCCCCTTTTGCTCGGTTCTTTCAGTGGGAAAGAAATGGAAAGAACCGCAAGGTACAAAATAGACGACAGGGTGGCCCGAAAGTACAGTAGGAGGTGACGCAAGGTAACGACGCCCGACACCAACAAGCATCCCGCTCACCAGCGACACGCCGCGTCTACCCATGCATTCTTCCCTTCCCCAACGCGTCAATCTGCAAGGCACAGCAACATCACGGGCATGAAAACACACTTACTGTAGCTCAAAGTTGCCAGAAAACGTCACTGGCCGCAGTACAAACTTGCAAGTTCTGAGGCTAGAGCTCCCGGCAGATTCCCGCACGACATTCGGCTCCCACAAGCTGCTTACAGCGCTACATATGCCAGCTGCGGGCCCAGAGCTCTCAGAAGTTTCTTCCTCTGTGAGATTCTCGACGACGGCACGCCACAATGATCATTCATCACACACTTTTGACAACCTGTCCATCCACTTAGGCGACTTACATCTTGATTTTCGATGACAGCTACACAGTGGCAACTTCCACCTTGATGCATGTTCGATGACAGATACACACTGGCAACTTCCACCTTGATGTTCAACGACACTTCCACAGCGATGTTTGACCGCAGTTGCATCAATTGGCAACTTCCACCTTGATCTTCGAAGACAGTTACAGTACATACATGAGCAACTTCCACCTTGATGTTCGACGACCGATACAAGTTTTTGCAACTCGATAGGCGCGATCTCCACAAAGCATTCACACCAAGGATGCAAATTTGCGTTCCACCTCACGCTGAAACACTCGACACACAATCCCCGCCAAGGGTTCGCCAACAACGAACTCACCTCACATTTGAGCGCTCGACATGCGCAATCTCCGCAGAGAGGTGTCCCACGCCCAAGACGATTCACATATTACCACACAGGACCAGGATCTCTGCAAAGGGTCGCATTTCGTGGGCATCGTCCGGGCCAGCCCACCGCCTTAACAGAAGATTAGAAAGATGTCGAAGTTGTAGCTGCGTAGGTCAATTCTGTACGTGTCTTCACCTGTATTTGAACACCTGTATCTCTACTCTACACCTACACCTGTATCACACCTGCATATCAACACCCCTATCTAAATAGACACCTGTACCCAAACACCTGTATTTACACAACTGTATCCAAACAACAGTATCTATGCAGGGTGTTAAGGCAGTTGCATCACCTACAACTCTGCGCCCGTACAGTAAAACTGACGACTACGACGATGACTATACGTGATGATACTGATGACGACGATGATGATGATGATGGTTGGACAGGTGAAGCTCGCAGCCCTTCTTTCAGGAAAAACACATTTCCAGGTGCTTTCGGGAACAACGCACGAATCGCAAAGTTCGAAGTTGATGCTAAACACCACTGAATCAGCTTCCGAATCCTCCAAGCTAATGTAGATGTGTATAGTCTTCACCCTACAATAATGAAAACACATGCATCAAACTGCGCCATCCCAAACGCATAAATTTATCTCCTAAAGCCTTTTGGTCTATACCAAGTTTTTCTGCGTCTTCCCTACGCGATGCAAGTCTGGTGCTCCACATAGCTCTTTGCGCGTGTGGCGAGATACTCCCGACCTGCAAAACTGGTGTTTCTCAGCGCGGTCATCCAGAATTTGCGCTCACTGGAAAAGCACTTGCAGCCTTCCGGCGTCTCTTCAAAGAGTTTCAGCTTCTTTCGTCCCTCCTCGGGCTTCAACATTTTGCTCGCAGGCCGGGGCAACAGAAAACATACATACGTTTATAGATAATATATACCTGAGAAAGGAGGGGACGAAAGCCAGCCTCCATAAGAAGACATCAATATGGCAATGGGTGGTGAAATTGAGAGTGCACCGGACCTCAAAGACTTGTCGTGCAAGATCAAGTGATTGGCTAACATCGGGCAAAGAGTACCTTTGCTATGGAGTGAAGTTGGCCCCGCCAGGGCGTAGAAATAGAAAGCAGAATACATAGGCTTGGGGGGGCCTTTTACTCCTGGCTCAAGGGCGTTTTCAAGCTGAAAAAGAGCACCTGCAAGGAACTGAGGGGCGCTTGCCTGCAGCACGTTGCCAAATAGTGAGCAAAGATGGCTGTGGGGGGCCCATGGGCGAAGCTATCGGCTGGCTTTCGTAAGGATACATATATGTGTATATATATACACATATATATATATATCCTAAGTGACAAACGGAAATGTCTTTTGAGGTGAAGAAAGAAGTGCGCAAGATGAACTTCCTTTCCATCAGGTTCAGCCATTGTCTCTGGACAGGTTCGCGCAAACCCTGTTCTCAATGGGTCACATCGTTTCTTGCAAACCCTCTTTTCCTATCACGTTCCTCCTCCGCTGCGCCTGTCTCATCCACGTGAACTCCCACCCCATACGGGGTGCCCTTTTGAGTCTGGCAGCTAGGCCTTCACCGTTAAAAAGAAGGCACCCCCAAGCAACGCCTAGATTTCTTGCAAAACCCTCTTTTCACACCCATCCTCCTCCGCTATGCCTGTCTTCCACCTTCCCCACAACATTCTGTTCCCTCTCCTGCCCTCACAGATCACACAGTGTCTCAAGAGACACACACCTCCCCTTTCACGCCTGGTCCAACACTATTTCAATGGCCACCAGACGCGCATCTCCCTTCCTGGAAGAGTGCCAACCACCTTTCGCGTCCCGTTGTCCCCTCTTTCCTATCGCCGATATATACTCCCAGCCCTGGTAGAAGACATTCCTCCTCCGCTATGCTTGTCTTATCCACATGAACTCCCGCCCCATATGGGGTGCCCTTTTGAGTCCGGCACCTAGGCCTCTTCACCGTTAAAAAAGGGCCCCCAATTCAAAGCTTGCCCGCTCCATTCTGTTCTCTTTCTTGCCCCCAACAGACCCCATCAGTACATGAACTCGCACCCCATATGGGGTGCCCTTTTGCGTATGGCCGGCATCTTTACCATTCAAACAGGGCACCCCGAAGCAACATCGTCCTCCGCTACTCCTGTCTTCCACCTTCCCCACAGCATTCTGTTACGGCCCTCACAGATCACACAATGTCTTAAGAGACACACACACACACACACCCCTCCACCTCCCCTTCACGCCTGGTCGAACACTATTCCAATGGCCACCAGACGCACATCTCCCTTTCCTGGAGGAGTTCCAACCACTTTTCGCGTCCCGTTCCCCCCCTCTTTCCTATCGTCGACATAAACTCCCACCCCTCTGTTTACATTGCCTCCTGAGCCCCTCATGATGCTAATGATGCACTACTAGCTGTCAATTACATCACTTGCATCACAACACCCAAAAAAACCATGCATGTTCAATCCCAATCGGGCACTCGTTTTTTCGCTCTCCTCCACCAGGCTCTGGGTTAGACCTCCGAAATTGACCCTTGTGCGACCACCCCCCCACACCCCCTTTACTCACTTCGTTCGCCCAACCCAACTTCAGCCTAGCCTATCAGCTGGCTTTCGTGATAATATAATTAATATATTATATTATATATATAGTATATAATATATATCGCACAACTGCTGAACATGCTGCTGATAGCACTTTAAAAGTATGTGAACATGGAGCTGTTGCTGCTATACCTCTTACATAAATCCTTTGATGCACATAGTCACTTGCCCCCCTTGCCTCCAGTGACCTTTCCAGAAAGTCGTTGAAGACTTGCTGGGTCGCTTCCTTCATCTCTTTCTCCTTGGAAGGAATGGTCTCAAGGAATGCTTCATATGTGCTTCAAGTATTGCGAAAGTTTGGCAGCCGCCACCCTCCTTCTTCTCCAATTGGCGCAGTGCATCAATTTGGGTAACCTTACGTGAAAAAGGAAACTCTATGGAGCATCTTTGCAAAATCCATATCTTGCCCTTGACTAGCAGCACAACATGACAGCAATTCGATCAAGGTGACTATGGTCCAATGATGAGAGCATCACATGCTCCTTGCTTTTTGTGCTTCTTTACGGGAGCTGCAAACATTGTTCAGTGTTGGGCATTGGCATAAGTACGGCAAAGGTTTAACCCACTACAATTGCCACGAAAAGCTGGTGGCAATGATTCTGGGCCTGAGCTGCGACCAGTTCATCAGCTAAAGCCTCCATCATGGCACGCCACAAATTATAAGGAAGGCTTTCCAGCAGAACAGTATGAGAACAATGAACCGATTCAATATCGTCAATGGTCAATGGCATTTATTCAGCGAGGCTTGTGACAAGGGAAGCACAGCTTCCCGTTGACTTGAAGAAGGTCAAGCAAGCCAAACAAAGGGCAACGGAAGTGGACTTTAAACAATTTGTGCCTGCTGGTCACCCTCATGCACCACAGGGCGCGAATCAGACATGAAGCTGCCTGCCAAAAATGCTTTTCAGTCAAACAGTGTGGCCCAGCGCAGGCAGCGACCTGACCGGCTTGATCTCGGCGAGCGCTTCGCCTGCCGGAGCACTGGGAAACTTCAGACACGGGCTTTGACCACGTTGGACTGGGCATTGTTCAGAAACCTCTGTTGACCACGGGACACGAATGTTCAGTTATTGTGGGGATGAGTCAAGATGGATCAGTTTTGATGGCCGTCAGTCTTCTTGTGAGCAACTTTCAAGACCATCAGGTCTTGATCAAATAACATCGCTACCTATTAAGGGGGGGG